ATTTTAGATAGAGCAAATTGATTGAAAATTAATTAATAGTCATAATTATGAGTTTTAGCAAATTGTATTGATTTTACAAAGTCATATTTTATATTTGAGCAAATTGGTACTTTTTTTTAAATTTAACTTAACCTTTTTTTTTAACTTTATAAATAATATTTTTAAAAGTATTAGTTTCGGGATCCGGGTTATATTTTGGCCAAAATTAAGTATAATTCCGGCCAAAATTAAGCATAATGCGGGCCAAAAAGCGTCCGTTTAGTTTCGCAACATTTTATTTTTTAATAATTATTTATTTATTTTATTATTTTTATTAATTATTATTTTATTTATAATCTACATATTTTAATTATAAAAATTGGCAGTTTAATTTATATTAATCATTTATTTTTTTATTGATAATAAAAGAAAGATTATTAACTCATATTTTGAGTTTTAGCAAATTAGTATAAATTTGAAATATGATAATTTGATTTTTAGCAAATTAGGTCTATTTTAACAGGAGCAAAAAGTACTTAAATTCATGCAGATCAGTTATGAGTTATATATGTGATGTCCGAGGTTCTGTTAGTATTGTTAGTATTATTAGTATTAAAGTACAAGTAAAAAGAAATAAAGGAAACATGGATATTATTGTTAGTATTACGATACAAAGTAACAAAGAGGTAAAAAAAAACACGTTAATATTAAAATAATTAATATTAATAAATAAATATTTCTATACCTGCAAAGTAATAAATTATGAAATATATTATATATAATTAAAGAAATAATAGAAAGAAGAGACAAAAAAATTAAAAATATTAAACAAAAGAATAAAGAAATAAAAGACAAAAATAAATAAGACAAAAAACGCGTGCATGATTAAATAATTAAATCACATGCAAGGATCAGCCTAATTTTGATTGGCCAGAAAATACGATATCGTAAAATTACAGAAATCCGCATTTTAAAAAATCATGTACATCGTACAGCAGGTGTAATATAAATAAATCGTGACTGAAATTTGTGTTTAATTTGTGTTTAATTTGTGTTGATAATTCTGGTAAAAAATTATTAATTTTGGCCAAATTTCGTTAAATTTGTTAAATTTGTGTTGAATTTGTGTTGAATTTGTGTTGCGTAATTTTTTATTTATCACAAGGGGAGGATGATATTTAGTAATTGCATGTACAATGTACAAGATTTTTTTTTATGATTTTTTTAAAAAATGTACGCAAAATATTTAATCAGAATATAATTGGTTTATTTTTAAATATGATATATTGATGATTATTTTTTTTAAAAAAAAAATTGATTTTTTTTAAAATTCAATAGAATGTGCTAATAATAAATTGTTTTATTTTTAAGAAATTTACTACAAAAAACCACTGGTGGTCACCACCAGTGTCACGTGTTTATTATTTTTATTGATAAATTAATAAATTATTAGCTCCCTTGTTTATTGTTTAATATGTATTTATGCAGTTAGCAGTTTCCTAATTAGTATTAACGCGTAATAATTTAACCATTTATGTTGAGTATTACGTCACAAAATAAAATATTGCTGCAATTCGCTTCGCTAAAACAATAGTAGCTTCGTGTCATATTGTATCGCTTATTGTTTTGCTGCAGCTTGTATTCTGTCATATACCCACGAAGCCTCCCGTATTTTTTTCTTTACTTCTGTTTAATAGTTTACGCTAGACCATTTTGATCAAGTTTCATAAGAACACACCAACTGTTCTGTTTGGTGAATGTTATATTTTGACTATTCTATTAGGTCGCCTATCAAAGACATACTTATCGTCTAACAAAGACACACTTCTTTTTTAAAGTAATAAACAGCCTTTTATATCCATATTGTTTTCTCCATGGATAATGAAATAGTCGTGCTGAATAATGAAATAGTCGTGCCTATACACTTCGATAATGTGACAGAAAATCATTCATCTGGTAATAAAGAAAGTGAAGAAAGTGATACGGATGATGAGATAGTCAATATAAACGAAGTTACATTAAAGATCGGTGATTTATTCAATGATTGGGAATCCGTCCAAGTGATCATTGATTCGTATGCAAAACAAAATGGGTTTGTGGTTAATAAAGGACGTAAGGATGTTGATCCTTTTGATAAATCTATCATTCGACGCCGCGGCTATATTTGCTGAAAATCTGGAACTCATTAATCAAAGAAGGTTGAGGATATTAGTTTACATCGAGAATATACATCATACAAAACTGATTGCCCATGGCAAGTTAGCTTTTATCTCGGTAAAAATATGAATCTCATACGTCTTACCAAGTTTATACAGGAGCATAACCATCAATGTGATCCTAAAACCATTGAATTTGCATCAAAGAACCTACAACTTCCACAACAAATTATCGATAAAATCAAACATTATACAACAAATGGAAATCTAGGCGCTGGACAGCAATACAAACTGCTTGTTCAAGAATATCCTCAATATAAAATTGCAAAAAAAAACTTATATAATGCAATTCAAAGGTTTCAGGGTGTTAGAATTCATGATGAAACTGACGCTACCACAATGCTTTTGTATTTATTAAAACAACAGGAAGACAATCCAAGTTGTGCTGTCATACCACGTTTAGAAGGACCAGCCAATGAACTTACCAGGCTATTTTGGATGACGAGCCAACAATGCAACGATCTATGGCCCAAATTTCACGACGTCATTGTATATGATAACACCTCAAAAAAAAATCGATACAAGATGGCTCTTAGTCTATTTGTTGCTATAGACAATAATTATAAAACAAGGATCGTAGCGCAAGCATTAACTAAATACGAAAATCAGGCTGATTTTAATTGGATTCTCGAATGTACACTGCAAGCAACTAATGACCTTCAGCCCAAGGTTTTGTTTACTGATAGTGATCCGGCCATAATAGCAGCCGTTCAGGTAGTCTATCCGCAAACACGCCACTTATTATGCATTTACCATCTCCTTGAAAACATCAAGAAGAAAGCAAAGTCTAAGCTTCGAGATGAAGCTGCGTCAAGTTTCGTGTCCGATTTTTACGCTATGAGGAATAGCTACAGTGAAGAACAATTCAATACAAAATATAGAGAAATGTTGACCAGGTACGAACCATGTCTCCCATACCTTGAAAAATGACTTTATCCTAGTCGAGAATATTGGGCTCGTTATTGCATATCAAAAATTTTTACTGCAGGCGTAGAAAGCACACAGCGCGTAGAATCGATCAATAGTGTTATAAAAAAACTTGTTGACCGAGGCACATTATTGAAAGAGTTAGTTACAGCCATTGAGTGTGAATTGGATAAAGAATCTCAATATACCCGAATGAATGACTATTATGAATCAAATCCTTCGGTTGGGCTTCCATCAATTTACAAAACTATTTTTAAAGAACTTGATTCTGTATTACAGGCTAATTTATTGCTTATTCCGTTGTCAATTCAAAGAGCTCAAATGAACCAATCATTACTCTATCAAGGTAATTTGATTTCAATTGATCAAGTTGAAGAAGAAGGCGGCAATTTTAATGGTATATTGGAGCATTTATATGATACACCTCAAATCCGTTTACGAGACCTCCTCAATGGTATATCCTATGATGACATTACTGAGCTTTGGGAAGTATCGTATATTAGATCAAAAACTTCCAAATCACATTATGTTGCTATACTTGAAGATTCAACGATTCTTTGCACCTGTATGTTTATCGTTAATCAAGAAATGATATGTTGCCATCAGTTCAGGGTCTTTATTCAGTCAGACAATGCAATATTTCATATTTCGCATATTCATATGCGTTGGCTGAATTCAAATTCAGATTTACCTAATTCAACAGGATTTATTACGATTGTGAATGGAGAAAGAAATCATACGGCAATACCATTAAGTTACATGAATCAATTTAAAACAGACAATGTATATACACTAAGTATTAGAGAAAAAGTTAGCAAAAAAGTTCAGTTTGGTGCTGCGATGTCTGTAGCTAAAACGAGTATTCAAATCACCGTTACAGAAAATGTTACAGATGAATTAATCACAATTTTGATCCAGTTTATCACGAAATATCGTAGAAATACTGGTTTAAGCGCTATTTCTTTTCCAGGTACCTAATATCATATATGCATAGTTTAAGCATCAGAATACTAATGATTTTTTCATTTCCAGGTACTGAACTATTACAGGAGTCACAAGGGTCTTCTATTCAAGATAATCAACAACCTTTGTTGATTTTTCCCGAAGTATCAAATCCTGAGTATCATAGACCGAAAGGACGACCACCTCATAAGAGATATAAATCAGTGGTAGAAAATGATCGTGTTATATCAGGCAAATCTAACGAAACAACAGCACAGAAAACATGTAGCTATTGCTCTGGAAAAGGCCATAATATCCGAGGATGTCCAAGATACAAGGCTGAATCGTCCGCTAATAAAGAAAATGAATACTCAGACGAATAATTACATAGTTGGGCAATGTGGTTAAATAGTAGTTACACTAAAATAAACGTAGTTGCACTCAAAAAAAATGTAGTTGCACTCAAAATAAATAAAGTATCAATTTCTTTTATTAAATGCGTCAATTTTATTACATTTTACATACACTTTATAAGAACAAATAAAACTAAAAAAAGAAAACGAAGCGAAGTCACGTGACATATATGATCACGTGACAGTAGTGCTGACCACCAGTGGTGGTAAATAGCAAACTTTTATTTTTAAATATGATATATTGATATTTATATTTAAAATTATTTTTAATTGAAATGAAGCTGAAATCAAACTAAGATTTTTTTTATTTTTTGATTTAATTATGATATTTATATTTAGATAATCATATCAGCATAAGATTTAATTAATATGTTTAATGATGAAAAGTCTAATAAATTAAATTTTAATTGAAACGAGAAATAAAATTAAACCAAAGAGATATTGTTCAAATTTTATTTAAAGTGACATTTTACGACTTTTTTTCAAATTTTTACTCATCCCAAAATCAAATTATAAAAATCAAATCTAATCTAATAATGCCTTACCACACACGTTCACGTCATTTCCACTATAATGTCCATTGAAACTGGGCTATAATGGACGAACTTGTTGACATATGCCAAGACAGAAACCGCGCCTACTACACACAGGTCAAAATTGAGGCTATCGGTTGCATATCGGGTACCAGATATATGTAGGATATATATATGATATATATACGATATGCAACAATTACACACATATCGGGTACCTGATATCTGTAATGTTTATGCAGAAGTTCGGTGATATATATTATAGATATCGTGCACATATTACACATATATCGGGTAGTATAATATCGGGCACATATCTTATACATGTCGTATAAATATCATATAGATATTGGTCAGTATAATATCAGACACATGTTATATAGATATCGGGTAAATATAGGATACATATCGTACATTTATCTGACAATACGATAGATAATTTTTTCATATAATATTATAATTTAATCTGGGCAAAATTATAATTTCAGATTAATTTTTAATTTTAATTCAGGCTAAAGTAAAATTTTATTACACAAATTTTATTATTTTCAATTAAACTAAAAGTTTTATTGTTTTTTAATTAATAATAAAAAAGATTACAAAAAAATATATTATTCTATATAGCTATATAAATAATTAGATATCTGTTATCTACAAATAGCGCTTATTTTTATCTGTTTAATATTTAAAAGAAAGAAATAGTATTTTAGTAATAAAGATATTAGTATGAATAATGTATTCGTAAAAGAAAAAGAATAGTATTAAAAAAATGTTAGTAAAAAATAGTTAGTAATAAAAAATGTTATTAGTATGTTTAGTAGTAAAATATATTAGTAAAAACAAACGTTAGTAGGTTAGAAAAAAAGAAAAGAAGTGTATAATATAAATAAAAATTAGTAAAAAATATACCTTTGTATTTATTTCACCTCTTTTTTGAAGTTTGCTGTTTAAAGAGAAAATAGATCTTGTTAATTATTTTTCTTTAATAAATAAAAAAAATAAATATTTAAATTACCTTGATGTGCGTTACTCTTATATTCTTCTGAAGATATATGATTAGATCTTCTTTTTCTTGAGTTTACTATATATAAACCAAATTAATTTTTGATTAAATTTTTTT